AGAAATGTTTGAAGTCCACTTAGGAGGCTTCCTCATAAAAAAACCTCAATAACACAAATTTCTGTTTTAATTCCCTTATTGTGATTTGTTTTCAAAAATATATTTTATCTCATTATTTCCAGCCAAATGCACTTGTATCATTCAAAATACTGGCACTCCATTACATGTATTTATTCTCTCCAAGTATTTTTGAAAATGTCTGAACAAAGCTTATGCTTTCCAGATTTCCCCCTCTCATTGAACATGTATCTTCTAAATTATCTTCTCCCCTTAATTGCCTCATTTCTTCCATTTACACCTCTCATATCTGGCAAGAGTCGTACTTTCCTCCCAGTTCTATCTTTCCTTCTTTATCCTGTCTATAAATTATTTCCTTATTCTTCATAACCCATCTGACTTCATTAATACAGTTTGGTTTTTTTTTTTATTTCTGAGCTTTCTCTTTTCTCTAAAACCTTTCCCAAACTCAACATTTTCTAATTTTCTTTCTTGCAGGCTTCACAGCTCCCACTATAGTTTTGTAGCCACATATCTTTGCACAATGCCATTGGAAATTATGTACTTTTTTTTTTCTGCAGGTTTGTATTCAAAGGAGGTAACAGAGACTCCTGTGCCACCACTATGATATTGAAATCGAAGTCAGTTCATGATCTTGCTGCCTTTTTCATGCTGGCACATTTGAGTATATTCTTACATTCCAGCTCATGCATCCAACATTTAAATCTCCATGAAGATTCTTTCCTGAAATTTAACACTTCTTTACCAGCATAGCCTCTTTACAATCTATATCTAAAATTAAGTTCTAATGATGAATCAGGGTCATAATCAGCTGGTCAATATTGGTTGTGTACAAATGTAAACCAGAAAAAAATAATAAAAAAACCCCACCTAAATAATGTAATTATTATCCAATACTATCAAAGTAAGTGCTACTTCTGGGTTATTTCATTCTGGGGATGAACTGACCAAAACTAGAACAAGAGTGCTGCAGAGATCAGGTAAGAAAGTAGAGATCTGTGGGCAAGCAACAATATTTGATAATCTTCTGGTCTCATTACTACTGGTAAGAAAGAAAATCAAGCACTTGCAAGTCACAGAACGGAGAAAAAATATATGCAAAAGGTGAGCAAGGAATGATAAGGGAGAAAGAGAGTTCCCTCAAAGAACCAATAGCATGCAGACAGTTAAAAGAAGTTTAATTTTGACAAAAATAATAAAGAAAGAAAAAGTGAAGCTTTTCTTTTGGAGTCTGAGCTCTGCTTTTCCTTACAGAGGGTTCTGATAGCTGGGGACTGTTTGCACATGAATGCACATGCTCACAATCTGTGATCCAGAAAACCCTTCAAAAACGTTGACCTGATCCTGGTAAATGGTGCCATTTTTGCTTTTGCTGGAATCAGAAGTCTAACAGTCACTCCAGTATTTTAACCCTCTCTGGAAATTCTACTTCTAAAGCCAACAGAGGTGATAAAATATTCATACCCACTCAAGTTTCTGCCCTACAGATTGACATTACTTGTTTAACTTCAAGAAAGAGTAGGAATTAGATGGAAAATGCAGAAGTAGCACAATGTAAACAGCCCCAGCCCATATCCACCATTCTTCTCTACTGAAATATATGAAACATTTTTAGCCCTTAATGTGGTACATCTTTCTCATTAATAAGAGATGAAAACGCGTCTCTGCATTATTTAACATACTCTACACGTGTAGTTCCTGCACATACTTCAAAAGTCTCCACAGTTCCTGCATTCAGGTACCTCAGTCAACAATGTCTTGAGCAGCAAAGGATGCAGTGCCATTGCAGCTGTATTCATTTTTGTCTATACTGTCCTTAAAAATCTCTATTGAAGGCTACTGCAGCAGGTCCAGGCAGCCTGCTCTCCTCTTCACACATTCAAATGAGTTCTTCCTAACCTCACTCTATCAACTCCCTTCAAACAAAGACAACTGCTTCAACTTCTCTTGTATCATATTCCTTAAAAACCTCTCCTCTAGTACATTGTGAGAAAGCCTGAGAAATGTTTTGTTGCTTCTGGTTTCTCTCCAAGGCTGTCCCACTCAGTCTTTGTTCCTGAGATAACACAGCACAAGATGGAAATCACACCTTTCACCTTACACCAGCACACACTCCCTGTAGTTCTGGCTGAGATGGACACCGCTCATATTAGGCCCTAGAAACATTTATTCCAGGGTCAAGATGGCTCCTGTCTGCTTTCCTTTCACTAGATATCTAAGTCCTCTTTGATTTTTCCTGCTTCATTGTTTGTTTCTAAATACGCTCTTTCACTCAGTACCTCCTTAGAGAGGTCTGTCCATTCATACAAATTCTGATTTTTCTGTCTGTAGGTATGCTACCCTGAGAGAACTTCCCTTAACTACATAATTAAGATGTCCATACTTGACTATAATGCTCACGTACAAATCACCTGGAAAGTACACCAGAAAATTTCCTAATTCTGCAGGGTTTATAGTTGAGATAACTGAGCATTGGAGTGCAAGTCATGAACTTTCCATGATAAGGAAGGTAGGTGTTATAAAGCATGCAGACCTTACACCATGTGAAAGTTCACTAGTACCAGAGATTTAGAGACAGAATCAAAGTTAGTGGGGAGAGAGTATTTCCACGAAATGCATACAAAAATCACTGGTTTTAGAATTATATTTCCTTGAATTCAGTTTGCCACTGTTATTTTTAAAATCACGCATTTAATTCCCCTCTCCTCTTTTAAGTTATGACCAGTTATTTACAGCTCAAGCTCAGTCTCAGTTAATTATTTTGTCTAGAAATACTAATTAGAGATCAGTGATTTCCAACAGCGTCATTACCACAGAAAATCTTAAGGAAGAGCAAAGCAGCATGTTTCTTCTTGTTTTTCAGAAGCAAATACAGCTTTCAGAGCAACCTTCTCATATTGAATTCAGATTGACTCAAACATCTTTCATTCCTCAATATCAGCATTTTTAAATCACAGAAATGATATCACAGAAACCATAAGGTTTTGTCTTTTATCACCAAAATAAATCCTAATTTAATGTGCTCTTTGCAATTTTTAGGTACAATTGGACACATGATTAGAGCATACTGGAGTTAATGGTATACCCATTGTGCCTTGTTAGCTGAGGATGCATGGTATACTCCCACTTAGGCTTTGAATTTCAGAGCTTTTATGGGCTTAATTTAAACCCCTGGGGCTAAACATGCACTGAAGATTGGACACACAACATCCAATGCTGTTAAAAGTGACTGCATACACAATCAACTATATTTAACACAGAAAATTAGCTCTAATTTCTTTCTCATTAATGTATCCATTGTTTTATGAAAAGAAAACAATACCACCAAACCACAAAATAACAAAACTCCAGCCCACATCTTAACTAAATTGTTCTGAAAAATGACAGATACTCGATTTTTGCTTTAATGGCATGACTCTGAAAGAAGCAGAACAGTTTGGCAGTGATGAATAAAAAGAACTTTTAAGCATATAGGAGTATGACTGAAGCCAATAGGTTATGCCAGCCAGAATATGGATGTGTTCCCAAGCCTTTTTGGCCTGGGGACCAGAACCCAGTGCAACTGACCCCCAGGAACTAATTTTGAGTGCAGACATAGACAGGTTTTCAGTGGGCTCAGTAAAAGAATGCTATTAAATTTGTTTGACAGATCCCTGTTTAAGATGCAGATTTTACACATCAGATGCCTGCCTGGAGCTGAGTATTTCTGGGGAAAAATATCAACCAAAGTGGTTGGCCCATTTCAGAGAAAATACGTAAGTTGATCTGTAATACTATAATTCTATTTTTTTTGTTTGCTTTTAATTTGAAAACTTAAACTGTCCCCACTCATATTTCCTATCATTTCCATAAGTAAAATACTTAAGGAGCCTTAATCTCCTATTTATGTGGGTTCATGGAATAGGTTGGAAACATGCTTTCAAAATGTAAATATATTTTTAGCTTTTAAATTAAATTCCCGGAGTAAAACTAGATTTTAGAATTACACATAGAAATTTGAAATGCAGAATAGCATATACATATATTCACTATCCCTTGTTAAGAAAGAGCCCAAACCGTCTGATTTATATAGCATCCATTCCTTAAACCAAAAATGCTTGGTGTGGCTGATGCAAATGATACAAACAAACCAGTGAAATGTGTTTTTTAATTAAAAGCTCATTTTGTGATCTGATAATGTGCAATAAACAGCTATCAGACTGTTAAGTCTGACAATACTGAATTGGCACTTTGTCTATGGCACAGATTTCACACTTATCTGTGAGTTTAAGTGCTGTGCTGGACAGAAATGAAATTACAGTCAACCTTCCAAAACAAACCCTCAGGGGATCTGGACAAATGCTTTTATACTGAGGGTTCACTCTAGTAAGATGCTACATGAGAATAGCAAAGAGCTATTCCATTTGAATTCAACAGGAATATTCAGTAATTCTATGACAATTACTTCACTCAAATCAATGTTGTGATACCTTAAAAAAAAAAAACCCTGTGAAGTCCAGCAAATGAAGACAAAGAGCTGTATGCAGGTCACTCTCATGCAAAGATTTGTCTAGTTTGGCTAATCATCCATAGAAGAACTCATCTTTGCCACCAGAACTGCTCAAAACAGGCTTGTTATAAGCAAGGCTTTTTCCAATGAACTTAAAATCATAGAATCTTTTGAGTTGGAAGGGATCTTTAAAGACCATCTGGTCCAACTGCTCTGCAGTGAACAGGGATATCCAGAGCTAGATCAGGGTACTCAGAGCCCCATCCAGCTTGATCTTGAACCCTGACCTGTTCTGTCCTCAAAATGGGGCTGCAGGGCATTCTTACATATAACAACTTGAAGTAAAGGGGCTGATTTTTGAGGCACAGTAATGGCACTTTTGACTCTAGCTAGAAGAGGCGAGGCAGAGCTCTGCTAGTATCACTGCCAGCTTCTGATGGCACACACACGTTCAACAAACAGGCAAATGCTGCGGCCACAGGAAATGCTTCACCTTGCCATGCATGAGAAGGCGTATGGTAAGTGTGACATTGAGACCTCCTTCAGACACTTTCGAGTCCTTCGGGTTCATCCTGGCCTTGTATCTTCAAAACTTGGAAGCAGCTTCGTTGTGTTTTTTTTTTTTTCTTTTTTTTTCTCTTCACTTAATCAACCTGCAGAGAAGGAAAAAAAGCACAATTGAGTGTTCAAAGCTACTCTGAACCAATAATATGTTATACAAACCAATTAACATTCCTATCTTTGATTTGCTGGACTGCTGAAAAGGCTCTTTTGATTATTATCCTTCCCCTACCAACTCTCTCCAGCCATTCACCAATTACATGATAAATTCCCTTCAGAAACATTAAAAATTCTCTTAACTTCCATTGTTCCAAGGCTGAAAGTACAGAGTACAACAAAGGGAAATACAGTGTCTTCTTAACAGCACTTTTCCCCCTGTTATCCTTTGTGGTGTGTACATGCAGTATATAAAAGCATTTTTGCATCTGCCTGGCACTACATCCATTTCTCTCCCTTTCTGTCTCTGTTAAAATTCTATTTGCTCTTGCAGGAGAGAGATTTTTATTTTCTCTCCAGCTAGAAATTAATTCTGATCCTAAACACTGATCCCTACCAGCAACAGCAGATGACACGTTATCAAAGACATCTGAGTAACTAAGAGCCACTTGCTGCTGTAAATCTGGGCACTGTCTCACTTTGTTTTTGTCTGCCAGACCCAGGGGTGGCTCAGTGCCTCCTCAGCCACAGTTCAAGTTTCAGCTCTACGTAGAAGGAAGATGTTTCTTAATTCCTAATGACAAATTGCAGATTTTCAGTCATTTACAAAGTAATAAATATCCTAAAATACTAATGAAAGCTGTAAGGGTTGGCCTTGGAGAGATAAACAAGATGCATTACAAGTTTATTCGTGCAAGGACATTTATGAGTACAAACAACAAGGGCAGGAAGCAACATTACCAAGGGCAGACAAATTCCACAGTAAAAGAGGTTTAGAGGTTCTCCATTTAATTCTGTCCTTTTCAGGCCTGTATTACAGAGCATACAATTCATACACAGGCCACTCATTTCAGTAACTGTTTCTTATTAACAGCAATCCTGTCTATTAGCTTTGGATTTGAGAAATCCGAAAAAGTTTGGCTAGTCTGGGAATTCCCTTGAAAATGTTGGGGAAAGTCTCACAGTTTCATCAAGTAATTAAGCTACATCTTTACAGCCACTAAGCACTGACTAAAGCAAAGTCTGTCTAGCTGAGCATGTTAACTCAGAACTGAGAAGTGAATAGCAGATGTGTGAAGAAACAGCATAAGAAACATGTGTTCTTATGGCCTCAAGTTATGCCAGGAGAGGTTCAGGTTGAATATTAGAAAAAAAATAATTCCTCAAGAAAAGTGGAGAGGCAGTGGCACAGGTTGCCCAGGGAGGTGCTGGAGTCACCATCCCTGGAGATGTTCAAGAAACATGTGAATGTGTCACTGAGGGATGTAGTTAGAGGGATGTAATTAGTGGGCACAATGGGGATGGGTTGGCAATTGGAATAGATATTTTAGTGATCGTCTCCAACCTTATCGATTCTTTGACTCTATGTATGGAGTCACCATGATAGACTTGAGACATCAGTAGGTCTTCCTGAGTACAGGTATAATGAATAGCCACTTCTGGACCAATTCTTAAGGAGTTGGTCTGAATCCATACTCTCATTCCTAAAAAGTTCTGTTCTCATAGATTAATTTTATCTGATTTTTCTTAACTCAGCATGGAATCACTGCATTTCTTATTGTTCACTCTCCAAACTGGACCAAAGCCACTGAAATAAATCTCACTTATTCCATAATTTTATACCTACCACTTACATTATACATTATCTATCTGCACAGAGAAAAGTGGAAGAGAAGCAAAATGCCTGGGTGGAAGTACAGCCTGACTGTACTTCTCATGCACCATGTCCAAACACTTTCTGCTTCTGCCCATGCAAAACACAGGAGCATTTCTGCATTTCTACAGTAGCATACATTTTGGAATTTACCCTGGACTGTACTGAAGCAAAATTGACCATCTGAGATCTCTGGAAACCTGAGGTACCCCAGGGCATGCCAGGAATGTTTCACTTGGTGGACATTCTTCAAGTAGAAGTATACCACTGAAGTTCTGCCAACCAAAATTTTGTGATGAATGGATGGTTGTGTCTCTAATGGTGTGTCTCTATGGTTGTGTCTAAGTGTATTCCCATGTGGGAAAATAATACTAGATTAGATACAAGTTTACAATTGGAATGACCTTTTGCTATGTTCTGTGATGCTACATTAGTATGATCACAGTGGGATTTTTTTTTCCAGAAAATACTTTTCCCAGAAAGTAACATTCCCTCCCCAGTCCTGACCTTTTTATTGAATCATAGAATGTCTTGGGTTGGAAGGGACCTCAAGGATCATCAAGCTCCAAACCCCCTGCCACATGCAGGGCCACCAACCTCCACATCTAATACTAGATTTTCCAGATTAAGTAATACTACTTTTCCAGATTAAAACTATAAAACTTGCATTTTTAGCTAACAACTTTTGGGTTCCTTTTAAAAAAAGAAGTAAAAAAAAAATATTATTACAAATATTGTCAAAAATATCATTGCCATTTCACTTTTTTTTTTTTTTTTTTGGTAGAATTTTGCCTTTGCCCCTCCTCCCAACTCATTCAGACTCTGGCACCTGGTGCTGAGAAGCAGAACAGATGTCTGGGGGAGGGCTGGGAGTGCATGTGCATGCAAGGAGTCACGCAGCTGTGTGAGATACAAAGGGAATGAATTCAAGAGGGCAATCTCAGGGAACAAGGAAGAAATACATAGTATCCGTACATACATCATGAAGAGAGAAGGGTGCTTCCTTTGTCAGGTCATTTACAGCTGCCCTAGACATCCCCAGATTGAAATAAAATGCATTATTATTTGTCTAACTAGTTAAAGCACTTCTTTTCTGCAGGCATCATCACAGACATGTACCAGTCCAGATCTCTGGGTGCAGGGAGGTGACCAACCACATCACAAGGAAGAGAGTGGTTCCCTTTACAAAGCCTAGCAATACATCCAAACCTACTGCTGACGTATGTAAGCACATGATGAATATCATGTGATGATGATAACATGATGATTACATGATGAAAATCAGTAAAATCATTTCTCTTTCCTTTGCAAGATCAGCATTTTGAACAATTTACTATGTTTCTGGTTTATGTGTGCCTCTGTGTGTGAGCTTTCCTTTTTGAAGCTCTGAGTGACAAGGTTCCATGGCTACTCCTGGATCTTGAGAATGTCAAAGTGTTACACTTTTTCTGACTCCAGAGGAAAGACAGAGAGACTCCACAGGTAATCAGAGAATATTGCACAGGCTGTTGTGGTCAATTGCACGGCTAAATGTTAAGAGTAAGGTTATAGCACTTTACCCAGCCTCCAACAGACAGACAGCAGTGACAGAAAAAGCAGACGATATGGTCCCTCTGATCTCAGTATGCAGAACCAGGATTCATAAAATCCAAAATCCAGTGCTTTGCATCACCAGATAACAAGTAATAACAGTCCAGAAACTGAAGGAAAGTAAATTGCACTGCATGGGTCCTAGCAAACAGCAGATCTTTGCATCCTACAAGGCTAACCATGAACATCTGAAGACATTTCTGCTGTGGTTTATTACGTAAAAAGTGAAAAATTCTCTGTAGGTAGAGAAATGCATTCAAATACTTTTTAAAGATTCTGATAAAACAAACACTTGTTTAATGCAAATGTCTTTAATCTGTGTGTGTTTCTATACATTTTCAACATCTGTTATCCCAAACTGGCATGTATGCTCATAGTTCACTACATAAGAGCCATTAATTTTCTCACATGGCTTTTCAAGAATTTTTGGTAGAGATTAAAAAAGCAAGCAGTTAAGCCATGTTTTCCTCCAAAGACTACTCCAAAGACTAGCGTAGTTTCTCAGTGACCTCACTGAATTAATATAAGCTCCAAGATGACCTCTAGGGCAAAAGGGCAGTGACACCACACACACACAGGTTATGAGTCCATGCAGCAGAGGAAGAAGTGTGAGATGTCTGTCACAGGCCTAAGACATAAAAAGTGAATGGAAAAGTCAATGTCATGATCCGCTTTCCTCCTAACACTAAAACAAGCTAATCCCCGTCCAAGAAAATAAACAGATGACTGTAGTGACAACGGCTGCACAGTACTGAAAAATACTTCCTTTAAAACTCCCAGGTGGGCACTTAAGGTGTGCAGGATAGGAGGGTCTTTGACCCCAGCACGTCAAAGATGCAAGAGATGAAGAAAATCAACATGGTACACCAAGGCAGATGTCAGGTAATGGATCTCTGAGTTTAAAGCTAAAATAAATCGGCATTCGTGAATCTGCCAAGCAAAAAAACTCATCTGAAAGATCCAGAAAAACAAAGCAGTGCATGGAGTGAATTGGGACAGTCAAAGAAACACAGGAGGAGGCACAGAGAGGAAAGAAGGAGAAAGTCCAGGAGAAAGAGATGAAGCTTCAGTTGGCTGATGCAGATAACACTGTAAGAGGAATCAATGTGAAAGTATCACCTGAAAGCATCCAAGGAGGATTCATTTACCTGCTTTGGTAAATGAAATGTGGATCATGTAATTGTTAAGCTGATCTTGTCAAAAGACAAAACTGGTAAAAGCATCCACCACAGCATTCACTGTGTTTGAGCCTTAGAAGGGATTCTTGAACTTAATTGTAGTGTTTCATAATCATCAGTAGAAAGATGTAAATGTGAAGAAAGCATGAAGGAATCTAAGGATATAATTCAAAAGTACCAATTCCAGTTGTTTCACTGGAAGATATTTAAACAGAGAATAGAATGGGGGAAATTACAGTGACATTCTGCAGAAACTATATCTATTTTAAATGAGGACACTTAAATTTTTTTCATCTAGTTCCCATGCTTCAACTGATTCAGAAGAAGAAAACCTAAATAAAGGAAAACATAAGAACATCCCCTCACTCACAGCACATCTGTCACTTCAGCAATATATGGAACCATCCCAAAGGAGGGGTAGCTAATCAGACGACCAAGCCTTAGGGATGGGAAGCAGGAACAGGCAGCAGCTGAACAAGAAGACTAAATAATCTGAAGACGAACAAAAAGAATTATCATGAGCAAGTAATACACTGA